AAACACTAATCATCTTCGTTCTTCTGTACTTCTTAGGGGAAACTGTCAAAGGGAAGATTTTCGAGCGTTCTGTGAAGATGAATGACTTGAAGAAAGTATGGTCTTTCAACGAGAGTTTGTTTTGCCAAGTTGTCCATGTTCTTCTTGGATACACCTCCACCTATCATTCGTTCATTGTAGTCCCTGAGCGGGCCAATGCCACCCTTATCGAGGAACAAGATACACTACAAGCTCAGCGTGTTGCTACCCCACGCTCTTGGCAAAAATTTATCATCCCTTCATTTAGAAGGAACACATCAGTGAAAAATTTTCTAAGTTTTCTTTTCTTGGGTGAGCCCTCCGAATTTGCCCTTTCAATTGTTCAAATTCCTGATGATGCAACTACTTTACCTACTCTAAAAGCCAAGCAGATGGTTCCTTCTCATGATGCCCTTGAACTTGCTGAGACGCAAGTTTCTTGTGAGGCTTCGGTCCCTCATCCCGAGCTTACTTTCGAGGTGACTCCTACTAATCCCACAGTCGCCTCCTCGCGCCACACTGTCACCTGATGTAGAGGTGCAAGTCGAGGAGTGTTTGACAAAGAAGGGAAGGATTGTAGAGCCACCATCTGAAGTTTTTGTTTTGTCCTATCCTGAAAGCGAAAGGGAAAGACATTACTGTTTGAGACTTAGCTGCCAAGGACGTGAATGTCGTAGTTAGGATAGCCAAGGGAGTGATCCCGCTTCGTGATCTTGCTGCAAATGAGGTAGTGTTTGATGATGGAATCACTTGGCAAGCTATCCAACAAATGCTTCTGGTATTTGCCTTATATATTTTTTTCCTCTCCCTCATTCTTTTAGAAAGGCGATCTTTCTTTTCTTTTTTATTCATTTTTTCTCTTTTTTCTTATGACAAGGGCCTTCAAAGGTTTATGAAGAAAACTTTGTTCCTCTTTGAAAGTGCTTCTTGCAACAATGAATAAACTGCATAAGACCGAAGTGTTTCAATCGAAGACACTCCGATGTTTAAGTCAGTAAATGTGTATGAAGAAATTGTATGCAAAAAGAATTCAACTTACCATGTGCCATGCATCCTGATTGCTTTATATAGATTTTGTCATGTTTCTAGGATTCCTTTTACTGACGTGGGAGATGACACATCTAACTTCATTCGAAAATGTTTGTTGGGGATCGCACAAATCTCTCAATCGCTCCTCAATTGCAGATCTTTTGAATTATTGACTTTGCTTTACTGTTGTACCTAAATTCCCCAATTAAAGTTGATTATCCTATTGTTCAGTTCATGCCATGCTTTCAAGCTGCACTGTGCACTTGTGCTCAACAATATGAACCGAGCTATTGCAATTTAGTTCGGTTTGTCCAAAGCGCTTCATGTACTTGTGTCCCCCGTGATCTGTCCGTTCATAATCACGTGCATATATCACCTGCCTATACACGTGGCATAATTTTTTACCACTTCACCTTTAATCTCAATTTGTATTCATCAAAATAATAACAATAATAATAAAAATAGAACCCGAGTCTCCATGGAGAATCGTTTTCCGACGCTCAATTCAGGTCCAACCTCGGGTTTCTTTGTCAAGATCATAAAATAAGCCTAGCAAAAAATTGACTTCATTTTTTCCTTCACAACAAATCATATTAACTCGAGTAATCGTCGATAAAAACCGTTAGGGTTGAAAAGAGGGTGTGTTAATAATTTGAGCTTTTTGCACTTTGCACCTTGAAATAATTTTTTATTTTGCACTTTCTAAGATTAAAACTTTCACATTACACCCTTAATGCATCAAAAATGTTATAATGTGGTCCTTTTGTTAATTTTTCTTATTTTTTCTGTTAAAAGCCAACCTGTTGAGAACGACGAAAAAACTAACGGAAAGCAAACATAAAGGTTACATTGCAACACATTTGATATATTGAGAGTGCAATGTAGAATATTTAATCTTTGAAAGTAGAAAATTTACTCTTTGAAAGTACAAAGTAAAAAATTTAAAGTCTTTCAGGGTGCAAAATAAAATTTGTCCTAATAATTTTTGCTAACCGAAAGCTTCTCTCTGCTGTATCCTAGAGAGAATTTCTTCCATAGTTGCAGAGCCACCAAACAGCTTCACCTGTTGTGCAGGTGCAATCAAAATTGAGGAATGGCATAGGCCTGATGGTCTTTATTGTGCTAAACAGCTTAGAAAGCCCAATTGTGGAACCGTATAAACCATGGGTTACAGGACCCATTTGGTTAATTTGAGAGGAATACAGAAGCCTAGACCTAGAGGGTGAAAAAGAAAGTGTAGTAAGATCAAATTTTAATTAATCATTCAAGGTGGTTCATTAATTGAGTCTAACATATGGTAACCTAGAGGTATAAAGTTCAACACTTCTCATACTTTCTAAGNCAATAAAAATTTAATTACTTATAGTTGGGGATATAACTCCGAACTTTATAAAAATTTATAATTTTATAAATCATTCACAAAAATTATAAATTTTTTTGTTGTAAAATAATTCATGATAGTTATAAAAATATTAATTAAAATAGTAAAATTTAGAAAAAAAGTACAAAANACTAAAAATTTAATTACTTATAGATGGGGATATAACTCCGAACTTTATAAAAATTTATAATTTTATAAATCATTCACAAAAATTATAAATTTATTTGCTGTAAAATAATTGATGATAGTTATAAAAATATTAATTAAAATAGTAAAATTTAGAAAAAAAGTACAAAATTTATTTATTTATTTTTTTCTGATACCGGAGCCCAGTCCTAGTTTGAATGAACTGAAATGATCTGAGTTCAAAGTGGTGGGATTGTTGGAGATTTCTAACTTATAATTGGGGTTTTGACCAAGACTAGAAGGTAACATAACGTGACGAAGTTGAAATAGAAAAGTGTCCACCTGAAGTGGCTTTCCTTATTCCTTGGGTTCAAAGTTGTTGTCAATCACTTTAGATCCTTCCTTCCAACTCCAAGGCTTCCATACTTGCCTTGTACAACTTGTTCTTCGACTCTACGTAATGTTTGGGGGTTGAATAATTCAGGTGCTTACGCGTGGAAAATTCAGGAAACTTTTGAGCTTTATGCTTCTTTTTGTTGTTTTTATTATTATTATTTGTTTAATGGACAAAGTTATTTGAGTTATTTTACGCATTTTCATCTGGTAACTAAGTCATACATTTAGACAAAAAATAGTCACAATCATGTGTCTTTTGAATTTATAGTTACAAGACCAATATCAAATTCACATAATTGCTTACAAATCATTTCCATTAATTAAACATTAATTTTATGCAATTAAAGAAGCTGAATTCAAATATTACAAGACCAATATCAAATTCACATAATTACCTATAAATCATTTACATCATTAAACATTAATGTTATACAGTTAAAGAATATGAATAGTTTTGACCTTAACTCATCTTTAGGAATTTGTTTGGATGAATTTTTGAAAGGAGTTTGGATTGTTTTCTCTAAATCCTTTCAAATTCAAACTCCTTTTCACAAAGATGAGATTTAATATTGAATTCGGTTCATACCCATATCTGATATGCAACACATACATTGTAGAGCTCACAGATATATCATAATTATTAACAACTATTTGTCTTATAAATAATTATTTTACCCTTCATCAATTCAATTCATATCAATATTATGGGGTACAATTATTTTTTTGTATCCATAACCCATTAACTTATCTTTCCAAATCCACCACCCCTTAAGTTTGACAAAATTAATGATCATGAGTTTTGACTCATCTTTCCAAATCTATCACTCTTTAGATTTGACAAAACTTATGATCATGAGTTTAATATTCGGGCTAACAATAGGCGGGTTTAAAAACTAAAGATTGAATTTTTAATTTAAACATGAAATTTGAAAATCCTTTAGATAATTTTTTCTAAACCCATCTTACCGACGCATCCTTCTATTGAACTCGTGTTTTGACGTTTGGTACAATGTACTTCAATCGAAGCCGGCGGCATTGCCAGGGGGGACTTTTTTATCTTTTCTTGTGAAGCCCATCACAAACGCTTCAGAATAGTAAGTCCAATGAATGTTTCATGTGACCATATGGGGGGTTATGGCGAGGAATCCGTGGAGACTGAAATATATTAAACTGTCTACTTTGGTAATTGCAGTGTTAATTTTTTTCTTTGTATGATTTTTATAATCGAAGTTTCTTGTGAGGAATAATATTATGCTTTGAGTTCTTCAATAGGTGTCTCCTCACATGTTCTCTACTTTGTTTAACAAGAGGAAAACTGTAGGACAACCCACGGAATCAGATCCAAAACTTGACAATTGAGTTTATTATTATTATTTTTTTTGTTACAGGGTATTCAGGTTTATATCAATTACTCCATCGAACTCGGATTTAATCTTAAATCGAGCTGATTTAAACCACTATGTTGACGCATGACGAAGGGGCTAACTCTGAGGAACTATAAGAAATGTTGAATCTAAAATCTTTTACTTACAAGATGTCAAATTTAATTACTGAACTATCCTTAAAAGTTATACTTGAGTTTATTATGATGTTTAATAAAATTTGTTAAATTTACATATTCCCCAAAAAAATATTAAAAATGTATTTTTGCAGCGGCCCCAAATCTACAGAGAGTGCGGAGTTTTAAAATTTTGTAGTGACGAGAGCTTTCGCCTTTTTTTGAGGTTATGGTATGAGTAATGCTATTTAGATATAAAAATTTAACACAATTTGTTAACTTAATAATGTGATTTAACTGGAACTATTAACCAAATTTTTTCAGTTCTTTTTAGTAATAAATCTTACAGTGTATTTATGGGGACTCATTTTTATAGAGCGAGTTTAATTTGCCTTTAGCCAGAAGAGGAGATGATCCCACAAAAAATAAATAAAAAACAAACAGCTATGTAGGCTATAATTTTATATTGTGATCGAACCTATGGAAGAATTGGTTTATCCATTTATAGTGAGCGACTTATCGTTGAAAAAAATCGAGAAAAAAAAATGTTTGAGCAGATCTATTTATTTATTAATAAATCGTTACACCACGTGACACTGTTGACATACTGTGACAGTTACACCCAATATTTTTTCTCTAAGCAACCATAAATCCCAAGATTAAATATCATGTTTTTTTATCATTTTATTCACTCAAATGCAGTTCAAAAGTATAATAATCACCCTCCAAGGTTCCTACGAATTTTAAGAACATCCTGGGCAGTAATCTGAAACCCCTTCTTTAGAACATCGTCTGGTATTGCTGGCTTTGAGGTGAAAGTGGCTAGTGACACTATTTGTGCACCAGGGTTCTGGCTACTCAGCCCAGACACACACAACGCTGCATTCTGAGAGTCCAAATTGAATAGAAAATGAATCAAACCTTTAGGGAAAACAAATGAATCCCCGGAACGTAATTGTTGCGTAAAAAGGCGATTCGAGGTATCAACGAAACCGACTAGGAGTGAACCCTTGAGCAGAATGGTTACTTCTGATGCTCGCGGATGAGAGTGAGGTGGAACAAGACCATTGCCTGCAATATCGACTCTAGCCATGGTTAAGCCCAGTGTGTTAAGCCCTGGCAGATTTTTAACATTGGCCAGAGTAACATTGAACCCGAACGGGTTGCCTTTGGTGTTACCGGGTATGGATAGAGCAGTTGTGACAAAATTGGATGGTGTTGCTAGTGATGGGTTGATGCATGGTACACCATTGTAGAAAAAGGTTTGGGGAGTGTTTGTATTTGCAACACAGTAGTCTTGAAGTGGATCTGGGTCGGGTTTGACAAAGCCCAGTATTAGAATTAGACTGAGAAATAAATGGATCAGGAAAGAAATGGTTCTCATATTGGCCTTATCATAAAACAAAAGAAAATTTTGATTTGAGTTGTGAATTATAATCAATAGGACATGATATATATAGTGGATTTTGAATGGTATTATCTAGTTGATTATATACCTACTTGGCAAAGGGATTGAGTAGCTTAAGAGCATTCGAGGCAAAGGGATTGAGTAGCTTAAGAGCATTAGAGGAGGTAAAAACAAGGTAAGTTATGTAGGATTTTGACCACAAAATAGGGTAATCTGACAAGTTTTAAGTGGTAATTGCTACAAAAGTAAGTGTTGTGTGTTCTCGGTAAATAGCCTGTCAATAGATTGAATTTTGATTAAAATTCGAAATTAATTACTCGGATATAAATTAGAATTTTTGGTCATTTGCACTTATCAAAATTATTATATCATGATTTACGAGTTTAAACTCAAGATGTCCAAATTTATAACTCATTCTTATCTTTCCTTAACTATTTCTTGAGATTCCAAATTGTGACGTTGACTTGCCATATAAATACACTTTCAAACCTGTGCAAGTTCATTGGGCTTAGGCCCATCTTGTAACATCATTCTTTGCTGTTCTTGTAAGTTAATCTTGGCCAAACTTTCTTTTTGGTAGAAAAGTACATATTAGCATTAATGAATTGACTATAGACAAAATACCAATTTAAAGCAATGCAATGGAATACTTTATAAACATGTAGGACTCAATACAGCTGGACATTCAGGATTAATGGTTGGTCTAATTACCATTATAGTTTACTGTTAAACGATTAAATTATGGGTTCGAACCTCATCGTCCTTTCCTCTACAACAGTTCAAAATAGTGATCTAAAAAAAAAAAAAAATACGACTAGACTCAATCTAAGAACCCAAAAAAAAAAAAGACAAAAAAAAAAAAAAAACTATACCTAATGCACTTGCCCTACCCACCATACTCATATTTAATGACATTGTCCACCCATCCATCCTAATCATACAAGTTATAATACGACCTTTGCTCAGTGCCTGAGTCGCGAGGGAAATAGCTAATGACTATAAGGGGCCTGTATGATGTAATATTTTTACAGAGACTATGCTCTTAAAATTTATCTTTTTAAATTTTCTTGGTTTATTGTTCTCAAAAGCTGTTTTGTTATTGAGCCAAAGAGACCAATTTTGAAGGAAAATAAAATAAAAGGGATCCGTTTGAGTTAGCGCAATAAAAATAGAAAAAGTAAGAAAGAGAATATTTTTTAAATTTTTATATATTTGGATAGCATGAAATGAAAAATGATAGAAAAAATAATTTTCTTTTATGTTTAAATTTTCTTAAAACTAACCAACTTTTTTTTTCTTGTAAAAAATATAAAAAAATGCAAGAAAGTTCAGATCCATAGCTAACTTCTCATTTTATTTTATTTTTTCTTAATTTTTTCTTAATTTTTTTTTTGTTATTAATTTTTAAATAGTTAACCATTTAATTTGACCTAAACATCTTCACGCTGATGCTTGTCCTATAATTAGGTTAAGGGCCACTTTTTTTAAAAAAAATTAACTTTTAATTATAATATATATATATATATATATATATTTCTTTAAATTGATTTAATATAATTAAGGGTAATTTAGACAATTAGAAATTTTTTTTTTGTAATTTTTCTTTTTCTTTTTTGTAATTTTTTTTTATTTCAAACAATAGAATGAATTTTGTTTAAAAAATTCTAGTAAGTTTTTCATTTTAACCAAATATATGCATGAAAAAATATTTTTTTTTCATTTTTATTTTTTTTTACTTCATTTTTTATCATTTTTTTCTTCCTAACTAAACAGACCAAAATTGTATCACGAGAAACGTTGACATACCCAAGGCACAGTAAAAGAGCTAGGGATGACAATCGTGTCATGTGTTATTGGGTTCATGGCATGTTATTATGGGTTTGTGTCGAGCATTAGTAGTCAACCCTAGTCTAACTTATTTAATTAATCGTGTCGTGTTGATTGACCTATTTATTTTCGTGTCGAGTTCGAGTTTGTGTTCGTGTTAACCTATATAAATTTTGAATAAAAGATTTAATTCTATGATTCTATTATCCATTAATTGAATCATTGCACATATTTTTTCTATAAATTAAAAATTAACTTAATAAATATAGAAATAATAATGAGTAAAAATATTTTTTTGCTCAAAAATTATGTCAATGCTTAATAAACAATAACAAATAATTAATATTTTATTTCTATAATATTAGTTAAACTTATTATTGGTGTCAATTTCGTGTTTGATATTAACTTTATCCATTTATTATTCGTGTTAACAGGTCGTAAGTTTTACGGGTTCATATTGAGAAATGATCTACCCTACACTCACTAATTTCGTGTCAAGTTTGAGTCATGTTTTTGTATTGTGTTAAAAATTATTACCTTTGATAGGTCAAGCCCAAAGACCCAACTCATGTTATAAGCTTAGTTTGAATTAAGAGCCTAACTCCAAGAGATCCAATAAGTCCAGCCCAAATGAGTCCACGCCTGGTCAAACTTATTAAGGCTCGAAGAGTTACATCAGCAAAGGAGCAAGCAGGGTCATCCAAGAGCCTCATTCACACTGCCTTGGAAAGTCAACTCCCACGTCATTCTCTGGCCGAATCTTATAGGGAGCACCACAACTGCCTTATTCGTTGAGAAAAGGGCACCAACTCTACCAGATTAGTCACTTAGTTACTAGTAAGTCGCTTTAATCTGTTAAGAGGCGACTATAAATTGTAAGTCCTACCAATACTTTGGGGCATATCACATTCAGTCAAGCACATCTTTCGTATCTATCTCAATTTGTAACTCTCTACTCTCCCTACACACTTGAAATAATAAAATACGCCGACGGCCCTAGTCATTCAAAGTGGGCGTAGGTTACATTGACCGAACCGCTATAAATCCTAGTCTTTCTTGTGTCTCTGTTAATTACTGTTCATTTGACATGTGGTGTGCAAATCCAATTTGTGCATCATCAGTTTGGTGTCATCTATGAGAATGACAAAATTCTCACTTCTAAACATTTTTTTTAACCTATGGCGATCACCACCAGATCGATGAATTAGGTTGAGGATAATCCACCACGAAAGGAGGAGATTACTCCTCAACCAACTAATCTCGTCCCAAATGCACAGTAGATGCTAGAGACAATGTGCCAGTTGGTGGCTCAGAACCAACAGATCTTGCAACTGATGCTCGCCGGGCAAGGAGGAGCATAATCTGTTGGACCCCAAGCCAGAGGAGCTCCATGCCCTAGGCATCAAGGAGCTACGGGCGCCCCCTTGAGCGTCGCACATAGGGGGTCCACCATGAAAGGCCTCTACCTCCTCCTCTAGCTCCCACTTCTCATGGTGGAAGACCCTCATTTCCAAGAGGATGAGGGTGAAAATCAAAGTGTGGAACATGAAAGCCATTTTCACGATAATTTTAAAGGAGCTCTCAACCACTGGGACGAAAAAATAAAATAAGTTCAAAATCAACTGGGTGACGTCTTCAATGCCATGAAGGCGCAAGGATCTGAGACAATGGACTACCTCGTTAGGCGAACTGACACACCCTTCGTACCTGACGTGGCAAACTACCAACTTCCCCAGAAGTTCAAAATGTCATCCGTTGAAATCTTTGATGGTACAAAGGACCCACTGGATCACCTCGAGACTTACAAGACTGTAATGCAGCTGCATTACATCCCTGACAAAATTATGTGTAGGGTGTTCCTAACCACCTTGAAGGTATTAACCCGACAATGATTTTTCAAGCTTTCCCCAGCTTCCATTGACTCCTTTGCTGAGTTAAGCAGGTCATTTGTGTCACACTTCATTGGAGGACGCCGTCACCAGAAACTTGTCACCCACCTTCTAAGCATAAAACAAGATCGAGATAAAAGTCTGAGGAGCTACCTCACTCATTTTAACGAGGAGGTCCTCCAGGTTGAGGAGCCCAATGATAAGGTAACCATGACTGCCTTCTTGGGAGGCCTCCGATTGTCAAGCTTCCTAGTTTCAGTGATGAAGTGCCCACAGAAAAGCATGCCAGAGCTACTGGCAAAAGCTCAAAAACACATGAATGCCAAGGACATCACAAGGACCAGGCGAAATGAGTCCTCAAGATAGGGGAGAAGAGAAAGGAAAGAAATAGGGATGACAAGAAAGAGAATGACAACAAGCACAGCAAGACAGAGAGGGTACCTGCCAAAGATCGGCTTGCTCCCGCTCCGTAGAGAGATCGACAAGCTTTCACTCCCCTCAATGCCATTGTCGGGCGCATCCTATTCTAGATCCAGGATGACCCCGCAATAAAGCGGCCAAGGAGGATGAAGTTTCCCCCAAACCGCAGGAACTTGAACAAATATTGTCTTTTCTATTGCGACCACAACCACGACATCGATGATTGCTACGACCTCAAGAGACAAATTGAGGAGCTTATGCAACATTGTCACCTTTGTCAGTATGTTGCTGGTAGGGGTTAGGTGCCGTCACTGCCTCACAATCAGGAAGACCAACAATCTATCAGAGAAATTCACACCATCTCTGTAGGGCTAGCAAGAGGAGGAAAATCACTCTCCGCTATAGAGGACCACGCCAGAAAAGCTAGACACCTCGACGATTTACACCTGACTAAGACGCTCAAGCATGGAAGTAGTGAGGTAATATCATTCTCAAACAAGGACTTGGAGGGAATCCAGCACCCCTACGATGACCTTCTGGTGCTCACTATAACCGTCGCCAACTTTCAGGTGCGAAGGATTCTTGTGGACAACGACAGCTCTGTGAATATCTTATTTGCAGAAGCCTATGCCAAACTTAACTTGGGTAGAGAACGACTATAGCCTATCAGGTTGCCCCTCATTGGATTCTCAGGTATGAAGGTGTATCCCTAGGATCCATCACCTTACTAGTCACTGCCGACGCAACACCCTAGAGCTCCATAATCATGGTTAATTTCCTCGTGATAGACTGCCCGTCAGCCTATAACATTATTCTTGGGAAACTTGCTTTCAACACCCTAAGAGCGGTGCCCTCTACTTACTATCTCA